CCCGCAGGGCCATGGGTCAGTGAGGGGCATCATGAGGAGAGACTGGAGCACATCCTGGCCCACCAGGCCTTGAGGACGATGACCCCAAATAGAGCAGCCAGTCCACAGAGAGGACCACGTGGCCAGCCCCACTATGAGACGTGATGCCCCTCACCCTACAATCATTTTTAAAATTCTGTGTTGTGCATTATGAACAACTCCACTTACCTGGTATACTGCAGCATCCAGATTGCTAAGAGCAAGGAAAGCCATGTTGTTCTGCACAGCATACACTAGTGAAGGCACACTTAACTTCATCAGTTCCTGGGGGCTTCCCAAGACATTTTCTCTTAAAGACGTCTTGAATCTACCGAGACTACCAGTTTCTCTTTGAAAACAAAAGGAGGTAGATAGGAGGGGAGGGGAGAAAGAATTAAGAGCATCCTACTGATACTCATTCCCTCAAGTCCACTGATGCCACTTAAAAACTTACTTTGTTTTAATAATCTCCAACTACTTTTAGGGTCATTGAAAGAAACATACCAACAATGCACCCTTATAAAAGAATTACAGCTACAAATTCTCCTTGGGAAAGGATGCCCACAATGCAGTTACTCGTCAAAGCTCCAGTTTTTGAGTATGTTAGATGAGATAACACAAAACCAGATTGCACATCTTACCAATAAGAAATAGAATGAGTCCCCTGCCACCTTACCTGCCCATAACATCAATTTTACCCTGATTAATTTTTTACTGGGCAGCATATTAGTTTCTAAAATTTTTTAAAAGAAAACTACAAAAGATTAAAATTTTAAAAAGAAAAAGGCCTTAATAAATTATGGTAACCACTTGGGTTAAGTACTGAGAAATTTAGATCAATTTTTATCTGTAAACAAATTCAGTGCTTATGAAATACAGGAGACTATATCTTTTATTTACATAAACATTCTCATTAAAAAGCTTAAGTACATATATGTATAATTTTGCAGGAAATCTGAATAATTAGCTAATACCAACAAAAGTATATGTATGTTAATACCAGTAAGCTTCTGTAATTTTGGTTAACATAATCAACAGTTGTTGATTATATGAATTTTCATATTTTCAATACTTTAAAACATTCTGAGAACACAAAGTCTATAATGTGTAATTAATGATCTGTGATTATCTAGTCCTTGTAGAACACTCCAGACTCCAAGGAAATACTTTAAGATGGAAAATGTGGTCAAAGCCACTGAAAACAAGACATTCTTATTTACAGCCCTTGCTTCTGTTGCCATATTCAACACCCTCCACAGCTCACTGGTGAATCTATGAAAGAACTTGCTGAGAATAAGCAATCTGGCAGTGGCCTACAAAGTGTGTCAGAAGAAGGAAAACATCCTGCCATCAAGTCAATGCCACACGTAGAGACCCCAGAGGACAGGACAGAACTGCCTCTGGGTTTCCTAGACTGCAACTCTTCATAGGAGTAGAAAACCCTCTTTCTCCCAAAAAGCAGCTGATGGTTTCGAACTGCTGACTTTGCAGTGAGCAGCCCAAGGCATAACCACCCAAAAGATCACTTATAGAGAAATTCTACATAGCAGAGGCTCCAGGTATCTTAAGAGTGGCCTTTTAAATATTTGACACTTTTGAAAAGCTGCCTTTTAATAAAAATCTACAATGTTGATATATTCTTGACATCTTGAAGTATAAAGAATAATTTTCCTCCCCAAATCATATCCTCCAATTATAAAATTGAATAAAAATATTTAAAAGGTAGGAAGATTAAAATTCAAAGAAAAAAAAACCTATAGGGGTCCAATTCAATGAACTACCTTAGCAAAGTAATGTGTTTGAAAATATAATTAAATATTACCACAATGACCATTAATAAGCATCATGACAATATAATCTTTTTCTTTTTTTTAATTCATCTTATTGGGGGCTCTTACAGCTCTTCTAACAATCCATACATCCATTGCGTCAAGCACATTTGTACATATGCTGCCATCATCCTTTTCAAAACATTTTCTTTCTACTTGAGCCCTTGGTATCAGCTCCTTATTTTTTCCTCCCTCTCCTACCCTCATGAATCCTTGATAAGTTATCAATTATTATTTTCAAATCTTACACCATCTGCTGTCTCCCTTCACCCATGTTTCTGTTATCTGTCACCCTGAATGGGGGGTGGGAGTGGGAGACAGCACAATCTTACAGATGGTGTTGAGCAGTGTTTTCACTATACTGACTTATGTTTTCCTAGAATGCTGATTTATATACTTGATAGATCTTTACCATATCATGGCAAGGAACTGCTGCACAATATCCTAGCAGTACAAACACTCTATGTCTTCCCAAATCCATTTACCTCTCACATGATTCCCCAAGCAGATCGGTAAAGGCTTCAGGACAGTGGTTGTTTATCTTTTCCTATGGCTAATGCCATTTTATCATCTCCCTCAGCCTTATAAGTACAAACCAATGAAGCACAGTGTGCCTTAACCTTCAGGCCTTTGGCTCTTCTGCCTTTGAAAGAATGTTCAATTTATAATATTTGTTTAAATTGTGAATCAGGGAGGAGTTTATACTTCCAACCAGGAATTCTGGGTTCGATGACTATATTTTTTGTTGGATGCCTAGGAGCTGTTTCTGGCTGTGTCTTTTTCTGGTTCCTTCTTTGATTAGAGAAGCCAAGGTATATACCAGGATGCTAACTACTGAAAAAGCTCAAGTTACACCGCACTAGTTTAGAATGATAGCAGTATTATATAACCATAGTAAGATCTTTTGAAGCTGTAAAATTAAGCAGAGGATGCTATAAAAACTAGTAAAAGAAGAAAAGACCCAAAAAACATCAGAAAATAATATGAGGATCAAATACTTCTGAAAGCACGTAGACAGCTTTACATCCTAAAATTAACGAAAACTAACACGTGCGCCCTATCTTCCAGCTACATGCTAGCAATGGTTTGTCCTTTTCGGTTCCTATTAGGGACATAATAATAAAGGATCTATTTTAAGTATATGACAACCTTGAACATACTGTAAGAACACATAGAAAACCAAAGATTATTTTTCCCTCTACTTTCCTGACCTGACATACTCTTGGAAATCAAATCACAAACACCTTAATGGACACCTTTTGCTAAATACAAATGTATTAAATTTAATTACATAAATGATGGTGCTGGTTAAGAGAAACAGCCCATATAATCAAATAGCACATATAAATTTACTTTCAGATAGTCTTCTTTTTCATTGTGATTCTTACTTGAATAATTAGTCTGACTTTAGTTACCAGTATAGGATCTATGTGTAACCTTTTGTTACCTGAAGAAACTCTGAAGCTCTGAGCTGATTGCACAGCGAAGTCCATGTCTGCCTCTCCGACTAAAGTTCCAATCACCCGGCTAAAATCAATTCTGTCTGATCTATGTTTGGTCAAAAGTAGGCCTCATTCTTCTAGCTCCTGATGTGCTGAGGAACCACTAGGACACATACTAGGAGGCATAAAATCCTTGGCTAGACTACCAAGGTACTGTGCAAAATGGAACACAGCAAGTTACATGTCAGCAAGAGAACTACAATGGGACTACACATAAGTATCTGACACCTCCATAATCATTCTATGTTATATCATGATGAGATAGTTAAAGTTTATTGTGCCAACCTGGCCGATAAACACATGTGGGGCTAATTGAAGGGTGGAGGGATAAATGGTTCAGTGAGCCTCGCCTTACTAGTTCTTGGGTCTCTTGCTTTGTGATGATCGGACCAGTGTACAGCTGCCTTAGCCAGTTCCCTGCTTCAGCTGGCAAGGCTCACTTCCTGCTAGATTATCCCCAAGGACAAGCCACATGGACCTACCCAGATGCAGCCCGGGGTGCTGGAGCAGCCGTGTGGAGACCCCTGCCAGTGCTGAGATGCTTACACGTTCACTGATTCGGCTTTCCTCCTGCAGTCGGTGTCTTAGTGTGTCTTTTGTGAGATGGAGGAGGACTTTGTGGATTGGTGTCGGACATATGGGTTACTGTTGGACTTGTGGGTTTGGGCAGCACTGGGTTGGGATGTTTTCTTGATGCGCACTTAACCTTTACATAAAACTCTCTTTCATACATGAGTTTCTGTGGAATTGTTTCTCTCTGGTACCCAGACTAACACACATGAAATAGAATTTTCTGCAGTCTTATGTGGGTATATAGATCAAAGAATTAAGATACATTTGGTTTATTACTAAACACACCCAAAGTATATTACATTTATACATCATGATAAGTGTCTTCTTAGTCTTTATAGACCATGGTGAAAAGTAAACAATAAAAAGTTGACTTTATACTAAGGCAATGTGAAAGTGTTTTTATTTCCTTCTCTTTATACCACCAATGGAGGTTTTAAATAAAAATTACCAATATTTGTGGCAGGATTTCATAAGCATACTTCTAGCAAGAAATTTTCATGTGATTTATAGGAGTAAATAGTTATAAAATCCAAAATAATTCAAAATGTTGTACTACTTTGTATTTTAATCAATCATAGCTTAGAAACTTGTAATTTAAACACTTCAAAAAAGAACACAAAAAATATAAAGCTTTTGCAACATCAAATACTACCTAATTTACCTCAACAGCAGGATTTAGTCATTTACTTTTTACTTACTAGTGATTTGACATATAATCACACATGTGCCAAGGGTGTTTATAAAAAGATATTTATTAGATATCTTTTTTAACAACAGAAGGGTGGATACAGTTCCAATGTCCATCAGATGCTACATCCATATAATGGAATACCAAGCAGCAGCTCTTAAAAAGGATGATACAGATCTCCCTCTACTGACACAGGACCATCACTAATGTAAAACACTTCACTGGGTGAAAACAAAAAGCAAAGTGAAGCCATGTATATAATGTGTATCACATATAGTGCCCAGCAAATAACTAAAAGTTACCAATTAGATCCTATAAACTTCATTTAACAAAATAAAATAGCCACCCATTAATTCTTCCCCCACACCCTTTTTTCCTTGCAGTTCTAACTTCTGTTTGAGATCATAATTTCATATTCCATATTAACTGGAAATTCAAAATAAGTTAACTAGGACGGAGAGTACAAACAGAAACAAACCAACAAACAAATTTGACAGTATTTCAAATGAATAAACAAAAGTACACTAAAGGAGAAAGAATGAACCTGAGTATTCTCAAACATGAGGTTTTTTTGCTATGTGTGTTAAAATTAAAGACAACAAGCAATCTATGAGTACTAAACTTTAATAGGTAAGTTTGCTTTTCATAACTGTTTAAGTTAGAAATTCTAAAAGTACTTATTACCTATTCTAAGACTGAAAGTAGAAAGTACACTGGGGATAATAGGAGGCACCATTTGACACCAATGGCAAAGGTA